CACAATTGTCTAAAAATAATACAAATCCTAGTCAGTTATTAAAACGCGTGCACTCTTCTATATAAACAGACTTTAAACTATTTTTAAACTGCGAGAGATGGCACAGATTGCAGATGAAGCTCGTTCCGTACACGGAGCATAATTATAATAAACAGATGGACCTAACTATGAAAAATCGGCATCTTAAGAGTTTATCTGTTGTTCTGGTATTAAATATTTGTGCAGTATGACAACAAACTAGATATATACTGTGGTCATTTACCCACCAAAGCTTTTAAAATTAACATTTGTTTTCTTCTTCTTAAGCTAATTGAGTTAAACCCAACACTTTTTTATACACTAATAGAGATCAACAGTGAACAAGTCTTCACTAATTCACCTGATTTCTTGAATTAAGCTGGGAGCATTTCTATCTCAGACTAAAACTATTAGTTATTAGCTTTACTAATTAAAACTGTAATTAATCTAATGTGCGCTGACCTACAGGTAAATGCACAGTGGATGATGATAAATGTTGAGATTTGAGTGATTTTGATTACTGCATGACTCTAATGCACAACAGACTGCTGATCAGTTTAGAGGTAGTGCAGCTGGGCTCTGCTGCTGTTCCTGTTCCTCAGTGCTTTTGAATGTACTAGTGTGATGATATTTTTAGTATTTGTGTTAAAGCTGTTCTAGAAGATTTATGTTAAACATTGTGCATATAAAATATTGCGATATAATATATTTACGAAATTACACTTCGTTTGTTTTTGTACGCACGCACCGCGCCGGATCGTCCAATCAGCGAAGCGCGCTGTGTTTTGTTTCCGGGTCAGAGGTCGCGCCTATCAGCTGCTTACGGAAGTTTCTAGCAGTATCCTGCGAGCTGATGGTTCTGCTGCACTCTGCGGTGTTTCCTCGAATGTGTTCCTGCAGTAATCGTGGTGATGTTCGGATGTTTAGTCGCCGGCAGACTGGTGAGTGGATTCATATTCAGTTTATCTGTTCATCAGTGTTCATCAGTGTTTATCTGTGTGTTTATCTATGTTCATCTGTG